CGAGCTTGCCGCAGGAGAAGGCGGCGGGATTCGCTACCGAGGGCGACCGATACCGTTGGGACATCGACCAGCAGGGCCGATGTCGAGAGGACATCGAGAGATGAGGATCAACACCGAGGGGGGCCGATGGAGGAGTATCGCGGGAACACTGACCAGGACGATCCAGGGAGGATCGAGGTGGAGGAGGACGTCGATCGGGTTGGAGGATGATGGATTTGGGAAGGAATTCGGGTTCTGTCTTCCACTCTGGCTTAAGGGTCTGATGAACCTGTGATTGCCGCCGCTTGATTGCAGCACGACGTTGTCGCAACCCTGGCGCCATTTGCAGCGAATGCCTGACACTGCCCACTGCGCGCCGTTTCGCCCTGCCGTGCGCGTGCTTCGCGGCAGGGCAGCGTCGGCTCACATATTGACGCGCACGACGCGCCTGCGCGTTTGCGTGTTGAGCGTTGCCTCATCGAGCTACTTCGGAGGCGCTTGGTGGTGCGACAGGGAGGAACCACTCATCAGGAAGAGGGAAGGATTACCGGGAGGAGGGGGAGGGCACCGAGCTTTGAGGGGACACTGTGGAGGAAAGAAAGTGAGAGGGAATGCGTTCACGAACGAGGAGCGAGGATGGAGGAGGAAGAGGATAAGGAGGTGGAACAGGAGGAGAAGGAGGAGGAGGAATATCATGAGTTGGCGGTGGTGGAAGAAGAGGTCGATAAGAATGATGAGGTGGAGGACAGGGGGAGAGGGAGGGGGAAGTGGAGGTGGCCGAGGCGGAATTGAAGTAGGAGGAGGAGGAGGAGGAGGTCGGCCACGCGCCAGGAGGAGGAGGAGGAGGAGGAGGAGGAGGAGGAGGAGGAGGAGGAGGAGGAGGAGGAGGGGGATTGGGACGAGGACGAGAGCGAGCTGGGGATGGCAATGAGGGGTTGATGGAGGAGGAGGAGGAGGAGGAGGAGGAGGAGGAGGAGGAGGAGGAGGGGCGAGGAACGCGGGGGGAAGAGGAAGGGAAGGTGGGGTGGAGGGACGAGGGAAGAAGGGTGCAGGTGGAGGGATGGAGGAAGACGCTTGGCGCGTGGATACTGTCACGCGCCGCAGTTCGATTGAAAATATTAGATCGGTGCCGGGGTGTTCCATCAGCGGTCCAGCATCTTCATTACAGCGGAGGCTCTTGGTTGGGCGGCGCTGGTTGTTGAGGAATGTGTTTCAAGATTACGCAACTTGCCACCATTGACTTGATTTGGGCCTGCTGAAGAATCGTCACTTCCCAAGCTATGGATGCGTCGGTCTGCGTCCAAACTGGGTGGGGTATGAGGAGTAACGAAGAACAGGAAGTGGAAGACGAGAGGCAGGGTCGGGCTTGTCCTCGCTCGCACATGCCATGCGCTCCTCTTTCGCCTACGTGCGCCACCCCGAAGCGCCGCCGTCCTCGTCGGCGTCGCCGTCGGCGATGGCGCTGTCGTGGCGCCGTGATCGTCGCCATCGTCCGCGGCGCTGTCGGCGGCGTCGTGGTCGTCGGCGGCGTCGTGGTCGTCGGCGGCGTCGTGGTCGTTGCCAGCGGCGTCGTCGGCGGCGGTGCTGTTGGCGTTGCGCGGGCCAGGCGCTGGCATGGATGCGCCAGGAGGTCGCCGCGCGCGCGGCGGAGGCCGAGCTCTTGCGGAGGGAGAACGAGGACCCCGGGCGGCCCGCCGTGCTGCCCTGCGGGTGGCCGTGAAGGTCCAACCACTGCCAGGACTTGGAGTGCCGAGATCCCAGACATCCAACGTATTGAAAAAATCAAGACGGAGGTTTTTCGCCAAGATCGGCCCCCAGGGGCCCTCGCCGGGCCTCGGGGCCGTCAAAAAACGACTCAGGACGAAAAACCGGCCCTGGGGAATGGGTCGAGACTTCCGGGGACCCCGTCTTGAAAAAATCACGACATCGGATCTCAGGATTGGAGGGCCGAGTTTGCGTGCGTCTAGAACAACCATTTCCCAGGCCTATGCCAAATGCCGATCTCGCCCTCTAGCCGCAAGCGTCTATGGACACAGTGGGTGCCGTACCGTATATAGACACGGTCGGGGTGGGTGCGTCCATAGACAACGCGGTCGTTACGATCGGCGCAGTACAAGGTCGTAGACAGGGCAGATCCGTCTAAGGTATGTTCCTGTTCTGGAACAAATCCCACATGGTACTCCAGGCCCAGACCACGGGTGCTCGCGGTTCGGTCGGTTCGGCTGCGTCGCAGTCGGTTGCGTTCGGTCGGTGCAGTTCGGTGAGCTATCGTGACATTGCCGCGTCACTGCGCCCCTCTAGGCTGCTTGTGGCCCGTCGATGTTGGCCCGTTTCGGCTTCGCTGTCGGTTCGGCCGGTTTTTGGTTTTTGCTTTCGCCGTGGACGGCCTTGGGTACTCGCCAACGATTTCGCCCCTGGGTCTCGCAGTCGCCCAGTGTGCGGCGCGCGCAGGCACTGACTGCGCGTCGCGGGCGCGTGGACGCTACAGCGTGGTGATATTCGAGGGAGGAGACGCCATCCCGACCCCCGTAACCCGCATCTGCCGAGCAGCCCCGGGCTCTCTTTGGGCCCTGTCCTGGAGGAGGAGGAGGAGGAGGAGGAGGAGGAGGAGGAGGAGGAGGAGGAGGAGTGGGAGGAGGAGGATGAGGAGGATGAGGAGGAGTGGGAGGAGGAGGAGGAGGAGGAGGAGGAGGAGGAGCAGCAGGAGGAAACTGAGGAGGAGGAGGAGGTTCGATTCCTTCCCTGCCCAGACATCCAACGGAGTGAACAAAAAAACAAGACCGCGGTTTTTCACCAAGTTCGGCCCCTATAGGGGCCCTCGCCGGGCCTCGTGGCCGTCAAAAAAAGCGACTCAGGATGAAAAAAAACCGGTCCTGGGGAATGGGTCGAGACTTCCGGGGACCCCGTCTTGCAAAAACACGACATCGGATCTCAGCTTTAGGTGTCCTTCCTGCACGGTTTGGCGCGTCGGTGTGCGCAATGTGCGGGTGTCCTTTCCGCCTTCGCCTCCGCCTTCGACGGAATCGCTGTCTTGCAGCTCCGCGACAGGTGCGGCAGGGACGTGTTCGCTGTGGTGTTCGCTCGAGACGCGTCGCGATCACCGCCCGCCCTTGTCCGTCCCGCCAGGAGGGCCCATCAGGGCCCCCAAGACGGGCCCGAGGCAGGCTCAAGGGAGCCCACGACAGACCAGGTGGAGGCCGATCCTTGCCCTAATTATGAGGACCCACGAGTGTGCCAAGACGGCCGAAGGCGCCGTCGTTGGATCTCGTTTTGGCGAACATCAGTCTGTACCAACACGCGTCGCTTGCGCCTCTCGCTCCTCGCCGCAGGCCTGGCCGCGACGCCCGCCCACACCGCCCCCGGGGGAGGGAGCGCGCGCCGGCGCGCCCTGGACAGAAGCCCAGTCGGGGGCGCGGCGGGCCCGGGCGCGGGCGACAGCCTCGGCATCGCTCGGACGCGCGGATTGTTTTGCTCGGCGGGGGCCATCGGGGAGCAGCTGGGGCCAGCTTGCGAAGGAGCAGGCGCACGAAGTCGAGGCATGGACGTGGAGTGGACATCCGAACGATGGCAAGCGAGGGGAAAGGCTTCTGAGTCGCGAGGAGCACGTGGGATTGGCTTTTCACCCCGCTGCGTGCCACAGATGGGGGAGAGGTGGGGTTGTAAGGGAGAGCATGGGCCTCGGACGGGGAGGCAGGGTAGGGGAGGGGACACGTGCCAAACTCATCCGAGCGATGCAAGTACGAGGACGGTTCATATCCGATCAGGTCCCAGTCGTTGTTGCCATACGGGAGGATATGGGATTGCAAGCAATGCGGTATTGTGTGCGCGTGTGCAGAAATATTCGATCATGGTGCCCTTGTCAACGCGTCCATGTCCAAGAATTCGCTGCAGAACTGGACATGAAATAACCACACCTCTATCAATAACAGGACGATCCGATCCGTACTGGGCCCGATTCAACCCTTCTGCTGGTAGGAGGACCGGCTGGAAGGAGGGGGGGAACCTGTGATGTTTACACCGCGGCACGAATAAGCTCCGTTCGGGAGTCGTTGTTCATCACATGTGCGTGCTAGAAGAAACCACGTGCCTGGTACCTGGGCGGATACCTGGCTTGGCGGCTGCTGAGAGGGAGGAGCGGAAGGGAGAGGAGGGGATATTTGTTTATGAAGATGAGAATGGGGCGGCGAGGAGGAGCGTGACTGCGCAACGTGCTTGGATGCAAGTCTCATGGAATACACACAGGTTGTGCTCGTGGCCATCACACCGAACCAATACAAGTCTCTGGCGCATAGAGTATGATTCCCCTATGTGTGATCACGTGGGAACTCCACCTCCCAGAAGGGGTGGCTAAGGCTTTGGTCCAGTGGCGGACGATGGGAACGTGGCGGAGGAACGATGGGAACGTGGCGGAGGAAGACGGTTGCACGGATGAGGAAAGCAAGGGTCAGAAGCCGGGCGGAGGCTGGCAAAACCGTGGCTGCTAAAACGGAGCTCCGGGATTTTTGGTGCTTCTTCCGGGAAGCAGCCCGTTTACTATTTAGTGCGCTGAGCTTGAGTCCGGGAAGATGTTTTTTCCTTCCGGGAAGGCCGTTTTAGCAGCCACGGATTTGCCAGCTCTCGCCCAGCTGCCAAAAGGGGAAGGGGAAGTGGAGGAGGAGATAGAGACATTTGGATGCAATTCCTGGGAGGTCAAAGTCTGATTTGCCCTGGTCCGAAGTCCGGCTTAATCCGGCTTACTCCCGCTTGATCCGGTTTAAGCCCGCTTAATCCCGTTTAATCCGATTTAATTTGGCTGAATCCCGCTTAATCCGCGGCCTCATTTGGCGTAGCAGCCCCCCAATGGAGCTTAATCCTTCTTAATCCTCCTGACGAAGACCTCCCAGTAGTTGCCTCCTAAGAGGCAAGGCGAGAGGAGGCGGGGCCGCGGATGGCAGCTCTGGGTGGGCGGGGGCAGCGGGGAGGTAGACTTAGCCCATGCCTTGAGGCGCCTTGCCCCGTCTCGCGCTCAAGGGGGCGACAAGGCCGTGGGCGCCAGTAGCGTTCAGTCGGGCCTGTCCTTCTACAGGAGGAATGATCAAACATAGTCAAAACACAGCCTGGGGACGATTCTACGATCTTCGACCAGTGATGGGCGTTTTTTGACTATTCTTTTTGGTCCCTCATCCGCCTGTGTAGGGGGACGCGCCCGACCTGACGGTAGCGGCACGGAGCGAGACTGTGCTCCACCTTGTTTCGCGAATTCCCACCTGCAGGGCACGGGAGCTGGGCCCCAGATCCTCCTCCTCCGCCTCCTCCGCCTCCTCCGCCTCCTCCGCCTCCTCCCCCTCCACCTGTAGGGCACGGGAGCTGGGCCTCAGCCGTGGCAGCCATGACGGAGGCCTGCTGCTCATCACGTGGGCAGCACCCCGAAGACGACGGGCCCCCCCTGGAGGCCGCAGCCCGCTATAGGCCCCGCGACCCGCTGGACGTGCACCGGGCGTGCCGCGCGCGGTCGCAGCAAGACAGCGTGGCTGGGCCCACGCAGGGCGACTGTAAGATTGAGCCGGGCGTGTCCCTCTACAGGAGGAATATTCAAAAATAGTCAAAAGTTGGTTTGGGGGCGATTTTTTAGCATTCTTTCGCTATGTGTGAATATTTTTGTTGAGTATTTTTCATTTTGCGTCCCAGATCCGCCTGTAGGGGGCCATGCTCGACCTCACTGTAACACCGTTATCGCGGGGCCATCACATTCATGGCACCAGTCCCAGACCCCCCCGAGTTTATGATTTTTCCGCGACGCGACCCTCAAGAGGTCTGGACCCTTCCCCCGGGACCGGCTTCTCATCCTGTCGTTCTGTTGACGGCCCCGAGGCCCAGTAAGGGCCCCCAGGGGCCGAACAGAGCGAACTCGAAGAAGAAAAAACGCTATAAACATAAACTTTTGGCGCTCCGCGCGGATTTTTTTTGAATCCGCGCTGGGGACCCCCTGGCGGCGCCTCCGGCGCCGCCCCTGGCGCGCGGAGCGCGCCAGGGAGGGGGGCCCAGCGCAGATCCAAGACATCCGCGCGGAGCGGCAAAGGTTTATGTTTATAGCGTTTTTTATTCTTCGATTCTATTCACAGCGCGATGGAGTCTGGGATGCTGGGCCTGTTTTCCACCACCACCACCATGAGTCGGAGGGGGGCAGGAGGAGGAGGAGGAGGAGGAGGAGGAGGAGGAAGAAGAAGAAGGGGAGGAGGACCGCCTCCCCCTCCTACTTGTGGTGGTGGTGGTGGTGGAAAACGAGCCCACCATGGGATGTGAGGTTGCCCGGTGCGCTACAGACCACCAGGCAGCGACTCGGGATGAAAAGCTGGTACCGGAGGATGGGTCCGGACCTCGGGGTCGCGTGTCGGGGAGAGAGCGCTGCTTCGCATGAGTTTGATGCCGATGAATCGAAGATGACTTGGATCCGTCAGTGGAACCATCTTGTATGCTGGCGTAGAAGATATGATGTTTCTTTTTGGTAGTGGGCCAGCTTATGATGCCAACCCATGCCCCTCCCGTCCCGTCTCCAGGAATTTCGCATCCCCCCTTGATGGTGGGATGGGGAGACGGTCCGCCGCCCCCTGCGCTGCACGTATTGCGCAGGGTCAGTGGGGATTTGAGTGTACATGGCGGGGGCCTCGTTGCGGCAACCCGCAGCGGGGATCTTTGTGTGGCATTTTTTTCACAGCGGGCGTTTCCGTTCAATTTCGGGCCCTGATGCCATCACAGATCGATCCGGCTCGAAAAATCACGCACAAAGGTTTGGTCTGAGGCTCTGGTCGTGATCTTTTGCGATGTTGCAGTTTTGTGCAAAGGCGGATCCCAGGATAGTTCGAGCAGTGGCGAAGCGCCTTGGCTTGCCTACAGGCCCACCACAACATGTTCTAAGAGCCTTTTGTGGTTTGTGCGGGGTGTGTTATTGAAGCATGTCCGGCTGAGACTGTCTTGTTGTAACGCATCGGGTATAACATTTGGGGGTTCTAAGAACATCTCGTGGTAGGCCTATAGGAATGCCGGGACGGTCGGCCACTGCTCAAATAGTCCGCATTATTCGTGGGTGTCCGCGGGATTCGTCTTCCCTGAGATCCCGGCGTGGCAATTGTTTCTAACATCCGGCACGTTCGCCCCCTTCCTTGGGGCCCGGAGATCCTCACAGATCGGCAGGCTCGAAACATGACGCAGGAAGATGGGGTTCGGGGCTCTGGTCGTGATCTTTTGCGGCGTCGCAGTTGTATCGCAACGTCGGATCTCAGGGTGGCCTACTTCGGCGCCGTCGTGCGCAGGTCCCTCGAGTTCCCGGGGTGTGACTCGGAGGGGGTTTAGACACCAGCCTTCCCCTGTCGCCGCATCGGAGGCATGCTGGGCGTGCGAGGCCCCAAAAGGGTGCCGAGCCGCCGGCAGAGACCACTGTGTGCCTGGGCTGCCCAACTGGGATCCGAGCACATGGGGGCGGAGGTATTAGCGCCGCATCGGCGCTGCGGCTCGGTGTGGCAGCTGATCTGCTCCGCGCTGGAGCCGCCGATGCAGCGCTGGTGATGCAGCGCGATCCTCCGACCTCATCTACTTGGGCCGTGTCTAGGAGGCCTCCAGTGTTGGCAGAAGGGCCGCCAGGAGGGACCCGTGGGGCTCTTCGGGGTTCCCCGTCCCCCCCATCGGGGGCTTTCAGGTTTCCCCAAACTCCTTCTGGGGGGGGGGGCGGGTTTCCCCTCCCCGTAGGGGGGGGGTTCGGGTTGTCCCCCCCCCCCCCCCCCGAGGGGAGGCTCCTGGGGGGGGGGGTCGGGCTTCCCCAGAATCCGGCTCAGATGGCTGGGGCCGCAAATTCGCGAGAGATCGGCTGCGCGTAAGGGTGACTTGTGCGGGCTCACAAGGGACTCCCGCACTTCCCAGCACTGGCCTGCGTGCGCCTGGATCTGGCCTTCCCGTGGCCTCCTGGAGGTATGTTGTGCCCATCGTACTTAAGGACCACATCCCAGGGATAATTTCGAGCACCCCGGAAAATATCGAAACAGTACGTGTCTGCCCGAAACGCTGTCGACGTGTCGAGCGAGTATCGCCTCCCAGGGCCCGACACGTGGCAACCATCCAGTTTCGATATTCTCTTGGTGCTCGAAATTCTTGAGGCTTCGCGTATTGATGCCGATTTTTCAGCGTCCTCCGGCGGTAGTTCTGCAGCCGCCTGTGCGCGCTAGGTCAATTAGTTTTGCTCGTAGCCCGAGCTGATTTGTGACGCTGCTGGCGCATTCGCCTGCGGCTGCGACGAAACAATATCGATGCCCATGAGAGCTGACGGGGGGAGATAGGAAGAGACACGCATAGTCAAACAGCGAGGGAGGCCGGCCTGGACGGCGTGTTGGGGCCATCTCCGGGCCCGCGTGTGGTAGGGGGGGGGGCGAAGAGTAGGAGGAGGAGGAGGAGGAGGAGGAGGAGGAGGAGGAGGAGGAGGAGGAGGAGGAGGAGGAGGGAGGAGGCAAGATGAGCAAGACGAGGAGAAGGAGGACGAGGACGAGGAGGACGGGGACTCAAAAAGTGAGGAGGAGGAGGAGGAGGAGGAGGAGGAGGAGGAAGGGGAGGGGGAGTAACCCGGAAGGAACCCCCCCCCCCTCTCCGGTGAAAGGATAACGCACCCGGCACCCGGAAGCGTTATCCTGGCACCAGGAGGGGATACACCAGCTTTTCTCAGTTTTCCTCAGCTTTTCTCAGCTTTTTTTTAGCTTTCTAAGCTTTTCCTTAGCTTTTCTCAGCTTTTCCTTATTCGTATTCGTATTCTTATTCTCATTACAATTCTAATTGGGATGCCACCCGAGGCGGGGCGCTGGAATTATTTATTTTCCTTCCATTTGCGCGGTGCTAATAATATCGCTCGGCGAAAACCCCCCCAAATAATTATTTAATTACGGCGCGGTGCTAATGATAACGCCGGGGGGTTCCTTAATTGCTTCTAGGAGGATGAGGAGGAGGAGGAGGAGGAGGAGGAGGAGGAGGAGGAAGAGGAGGAGGGGGAGGACGAGGAGGAGGAGGAGGAGGAGGAGGAGGAGGAGGAGGAGGAGGAGGAGGAGGAGGGGGAGGGGGAGGGGGAGGAGGATGATCTTGGAGCCTCTTGGAGCATCTTGACAGCCATCTTGAGCCAGCTCGGGCTATCTTGAGCCATCTTGGAGGTCATCCTGGGCTCTCGGAGGCCGCTCGGGAGCCTCTTGGGGGCCTCTCGGGGGCCTCTTGGAGCCCTCTTGGGGCCTCTTGAGGCGCTCGTGGGATCCTCTTGGGGGCCTCTTGGGAGCCATGGAGGGCCTCTTGGGGCCATCTTGGAGGCGGTCGATCAAAAGAAGGGTGGGTCCTGGATTTGCGTCCCCCCCTCGGGAGTCACGATCCTCGTGAGGGGTGTGAAACATAGGCCCTCCCACTGGCCGGAAAAGGAGCCTCCGACACCTCGCGAAACCTCCCAAGAAACCTTAGGGAGGAGAGGGGGAGAGCTCTCCTCCCCGAAGGGAAGAGGGGTTGTGGAAGAGGATCGAAAGCCTGCTCAGAGCACCTGTCGCCCAGAGGGCTAATGGGGCTCCTCCTGGTGATCAAGGCTGAAGTGGGTTGGAACATCACAACCATTGAGCCGTGCACCTTCAGGTCGGTCTTACCTGGGGTGGAGGAGGAGGAAGAGGAGGAGGAGGAGGAGGAGGAGGAGGAGGAGGAGGAGGAGGAAGGGGAGGGGGAGGGGGAGGGGAGGAGGAGGAGGAGGAGGAGGAGGAGGAGGAGGAGGAGGAGAGGAGGAGGAGGAGGAGGAGGAGGAGGAGGACGAGGACGAGGAGGAGAAGGAGGACGAGGACGAGGACGAGAAGGACGGTCCCAGCGGGGGAGGCCGAGGGCGGACAGCGGGCGGCCGCCCGGCCAACCCCGGGACATGGCATGCACGCGCGGAGGGCGCGGGGGCGTGCAGAGCGCTCCTGCGGATGCCCCGCTGCCTGCGGCAAGTCCTGCCCGCGTGCCGGTGGAGCAGCGCAGCAGGAGAGAGTCAGCATCGTTTCACCGACCCCCCTCCCATCGAGACCCCCACCAAATCACCCCCCCCAGTTGAGGATACACCCTTCGAAGCCCGGAGGATACGGCCTATATCCCCACCTATAGGGGGGTAAATCGGCCAGTGGGGCCCAGGCCACGCCGCTGGGAATAGGGATCCGATAAACGAGGCTCAGAGAGGTTGAGTTGAAGACCCGTTTCAGTTCAGCGTTCTGCCTCAGATGGCGCTGGTCTTGAGCACCACCTCCTTGTAGGCAGCCTCATTCGTCTCTTCGGTCCTCGTTCATCTCTTCTTCCTCTGTATCCCTCTCCTTCCCCCCCCCTCCTCATCACCCCTTCCCCTTCCTCCTTATCCCTTCACCACCCTTCGTAGGCCTCATTCCTCCCTCAGACTGGCACCTTTTTGTTCAGAGCGTGGAGGGGTGCCCGTTGGACCGAATCTTTCCAGCTTGTCCTTGTCTCCCCTCGTCCTCGTCGCTGCCGGTCGAATGCCGAATGAAGCTCCGCGGAGGAGCTACGAGCGCAGCGCGACGAGTTCAGAGAGCACCACCCAGAGCTCTTCGACGATGCTGGTTCAGGAGGGTGGCCGCAAGAAGAGTGCGGGCGCAGGAAAATGCGATCGGCGATTGGGAATTGAGCAAGGAGGGGTATCGGCAGGAGGAGACGGCTCAACAGCAGTAGAATGATCGAGGGACTCCAGGAGGAGTAGGAGAGGGATGAGGAGAAAGGCAAAGCGCATGAGAAGCAGATTGAGAAGGAAGAGAGATGGATTGTAGGGGGAGGACGGAGGAATGGAGAGAGGCTGAGGTGAAAGTGTCGCCCAGAGGAGGAGGAGGAGGAGGAGGAGGAGGAGGAGGAGGAGGAGGAGGAGGAGGAGGAGGAAGAGGAGGAGGGAGGAGGAGGAGGAGGAGGAGGAGGAGGAGGAGGACGAGGTGTGCAATCAAGAGTGGCGCAGAGGTTACACGCTTACTCGGTTGCCGAGCGGTTTGGACACGCCCTTCTGCGCTTCTCCCTCGTCGCCCTCCCCCTGCTGCTGATGCTCTTTTTATGTGTTCCCAATCCTCCTCAGCCTCCCTCCTGTTTGGCCCGTGGTGTCCAATCCTCCCCCCCTCCGTCTCCTCCTCTCGTCCCACCTCATCCGCCTTCCTCCCATGATCCTCCGCACCAGGAGGAGGAGGAGGGGAGGAGGAGGAGGAGGAGAGGAGGAGAGGGAGGAGGAGGAGGAGGAGGGGGAGGAGGGGGAGGAGGAGGAGGAGGAGGCGGACGAGGAGGAGGAGCAGGAGGAGGAGGAGGAGAGGAGGAGGAGGAGGAGGAGCAGGAGGAGGAGGTAGGAGGAGGAGGAGGAGGAGAGGAGGAGGAGGAGGAGGCGGAGGAGGAGGAGGAGGAGGAGGAGGAGGAGGAGGGGAGGAGGAGAAGGGGAGGAGGAGGAGGGGGATATCTACCCCGCTCCATCCTCACATTCATGGCTTGTTGAGCTGTCCTCTCGAGAACCTGGGCCCTCAGACCTTCGACACCCTCCCCTGGTGCATCGGCTCAGTCAGAGCCACTTCCTGGCGGCCCCGCTGGGCTTTAAACTGGCACCCGGAGGCCGAAAGCGATGACCGAGCATTTTCTTCGGGTGGAGGGCAAAGGGTGAAATCTGAAATGCCGTTTCGATGGATGTTCGAGGGAATCTGCAAAAGGTGAATCACAAGACGGATTGAGCTTCGAGGTGCAATCCACCCCAGGAGAATGCTCAGGATGAACACGTTTCGTGCCGATTGCTTCGAATCGGAGAAGAAAACACTGCATAAACAGCAATTTTCGGATCCGCGCGGAGATGCAGTTGTTTCTTCTTCTATCGAGCCACTGATTTTTCCTTTCCGCTCCTCCGTCGCGTCCGCCCCCGAGGGTGCGGCAGTGGGAGGTGCGGGGAGGAGAGAGGGACGTGGATGTCGACGGCACGGGTATCCGCTCCGTCCTTCATCCCGCCCCGTCCCGTCCCGTCCCATCTCCGTCTCCGTTCCGTTCCGCTCCGGTGTCGCCCCCCATCTCGGCCCCCCACGTCCTTTGCTGAGCGCGTTACCTCGGAAGCCCTTTGCCCCCTCCCTCCCCTCCCCTCCCCTCCGCCTTTCGCTGCACCAGCGCGGATTTCGTCGCCCGCGTTGGCGCAGGACATCGCCAGGCCCGCGGATCGATGGCCTCTGCTCAGTGGTGGCCCCGTCGCTTTTTTGGGGCCTCCCCGCGGGTGCCACACCGCTGCGGGCAAGACTTGTATCCATCAGCATTCCCAATTTTCAAAGGGCTGGGGACCCCCCCCCACACCGAACAATTTTCGACCACCCCGGGCGCCCAAACGGCTCCCGAAACAGCCCCAAAGAGGTCCACTAAGGTTCAGATGGCTCCACGACAGTTCAAGAGACTCCGAAAGCGCTCCAAAAAGACCCCCCCATAGCTCCAATGTAATCCAGGAGGCCGCCCCAAGACGCCCCGAAGAGCCCCCAGAGAACGCCAAACAAGCCAAGATCGCTCACTTCCTCATGGGGCGACGTACATGTTTAGCCATACTCGCTTTCTTGTTTTCCAAGGCTTCAGAACGGCCCAAGAGGGCCCCACAGTCCCCCCAAAACGGATCCAGAGGCCCCTTCAACGCCCCAAGATGGCCCCAAGACAACGCCAGAGAGCCCTGCGACGGTCCAAGGCAGCCCCAAGACGGCCCAAGAGAGCCTCGAGACGGCCCAAGACGGCCTCGAAAGGCTCCCAAGAAAGCCCCGCGGCAGGCCCAAGAGAGCCCCAGCAGAGCCCCACGACGGCCAGAGGCCAGAGGCCCCCCGAGACAGCCCACAGGGGCCCCAAAACAGTCCAAAAGGGCCCCAAGACGGTCCTGGAGGACCTCTTAAGAAAACCCAGAAGCGCCCAATGACAGAGACTCGCCTCCCGCTCCGTCCGTGCTTCCCCCGGATGCACAAACTCACGGATGCGTGATGCTCGATTTGTTTATCCCACTCGTATTGTTGCCCCTCAAGTGATGTTATCCCGCAAGCTGTGTTGCACCTTGCACAGCATCTTTGGAAGGCGGGGCTCAGGACTGCGCCCATAGAAACGCTCAAGGATCAAGAATCGCGTCCTCGCCCGCCTCGGGTAATCTCTTGAATTCTCTCGGTACTCACTCTGGGAGCCTTTGGGGCTTTCGCAACGGAAATTGGGTACGAATAGCTACGTTTCAACGAAAGATACGTCTAGATGCGAAGTCTTACCTTTTTTAGATACAGGGGGTAGGTTTTCTTCAATTTTTTTAGATACGGGGTCATGTTCTAAATACGACTATATATGTTTAGATATGTTTAGATACGGTTCAATATGGTGGCCATCGCTTGAAAACATGTTCACCAAAAATAATTACGAATAGATGCGGCGCCGCGTCTCCACTGCCAGGCCTAGGCTGCTCAATTGCCACGAACAGGGAAGACAATACACATGCCGGTCAGGACGACGATGCTGAGGAGGAGGAGTATGAGGAGGAGGGGGGAGAAGAAGGAGGAGAAAGTGAAGTGGGAAATCATGGACGGCGGGCGGGCCGAATTGTCATGAGGACGAGGAGGACGAAACAAAAGAGCCATTTTCTTCAATCGCTGATCGATTTCATCCCCGTCCCGACTCCCCCTCCTCCACGCTCTCCTTCTGGCGCTCCCTCCAATTTTACCTCGCTCCTCTTGCCTCCTCGCCGCGCGTCCTCATCCTCCTCCTCCTCGTCCGCGCGCATCGTCCGAATCACTCCCCCCCCTTCTCCTCCTCCTCCTCCTCCTCCTCCTCTTCCTCCTCCTCCTCTCCATCCTCCTCTTCCTCCTCCTCCTCCTCGTCCTCCTCCTCTTTGCTTTCCCCATCCTGCGGTACCCTGTTCCGACCCAGTTCTCTTATACATTTCGTTCCGTCGTTGTTATCCATCCTAGTCAACGTCGTTTCTGTCGTCGTCGGTCGTTTCTTCACTCCTCATCGCTACGGCTTCCCATTTCACGCTGTTCATTTCTAAAGCCGCTCATTTCCAAAACCGCTCATTTCTAATTCTGCGAAGAACTAGAAACGCAATAACTATGGGGCGACAACTGTTAATCACGATTACGAAATGCTGTATGTGAGCCTCAACGAGAAGGAACACACATACACACACACGGACGGAACGTGCACTCAAATATTTTAAATGAGCACTACCTTGCTTCTTGGCACATCCAAACCAATCCATACATTAAGTACAATCGGAATAATCCCGACAATCCCGGTGCATAGCTCTATTTCCAGAAACGCACGGGAAACGGGCGAAAAGTCATGGCCGGAAGAAGGGACGAGAGGCTGAGGCACAAGGAAGACAACAGCGCTGTCATCCAGACATGCATGTATACCCGTGGCTTGCATTACTGGGAGAAATATTTATAATACCTATTGTTTTTAATATTCCAAATTATTCCTTCACGCTGAACGCACGCACGACACGGACGCACGACGTCGGGAGAGGGGAGTTGGAGGCAAAAAGGAGACAACCATACAGATTCGTGTTTCGCAGGGACTGTCATTTCTAAAGCCGTTAATTTCTAATTCCGGGGAGAAATAGGAACGAACGAATTATGCGTGATATGTCGGGGTTGCCTGCGAGACGAATTAGAATTGAACAGTGTGCATCCCTATCCCGTTGTTCATTGCTTCGGCCAGTACCATGGATCTTGTTCGCGCCGAGAGCACAGCCAACAACATTCATTCTGACAGAATTTAGATACGAATAAATACGGCGCGGCGCTGTTATTCTTTGAAAAATACATCGGAGGTGAGGGGGTGAGATCGAAGTGGAACGGAGAGCCCCCCTACCGGGAAATCGATTTCGGTTTCGTGTTCGTGCGTGCCGTGCGGGCGAGGCGAAGCTGCGTGGGCGGGCGAGAGAAAGTCTCCTGTGGCTGAGGCGCGGCCGGACCAAATGATTCCCTTCCGGGCGGCCGGGGCCCCGCGGTGTCCCGCCGGTGTCCCGCTGGTGTCCCGTGTGGCTGAGGCGCGGCCGGACCAAATGATTCCCTTCCGGGCGGCCGGGGCCCCGCGGTGTCCCGCCGGTGTCCCGCCGGTGTCCCGTGGTGTCCCGTCGGTGTCCCGATGATGATGTTGATGATGATTATGATGATGATTCTGATGATGATGTGATGATGATGATGGTGATAATGATGATGATGATTGATGTTGATGATGCGATGATGATGATGATGATGATGATGATGATGATGATGATGATGATGATGTTGATGTTGATGATGATGATGATGATGATGATGATGCTGATGATGACGTCGATTGCGAGATCGATTGTGATATCGGTCGTGAGACCGAATGTGAGATCGATAATGAAATTGGTAGTGAGTTTGATAGTGAGATCGATAGTCGAGGTCGAATGTGAGATCGATTGTGAGATTGATTGTGATATCGATTGTGAGATCAATAGCGAGACCGAATGTGAGATCGATTGTGAGATCGATTGTGAGATCGATTGTGAAATCGATAGTCAGATCGATTGTGAGATCGATCGGTCGAGGTCGATTGTGAGATCGGTAGTGAGTCCGATAGT